GGACCGGGGCACGAACCTGTGTTCCCTGCATCGGCAGGCGGACCCTCAACCACTGCACCACCAGGGAAGCCCTCATTCAATAAATTTTGACTGAACGAATAAGGTTCAGAAATGGCTCTGCCAAAAACTGAAGTCTGAAGCAGGATGGACACTTATAAAGGAAGCCCAGCAAAACCTCGCCAGCCAAGTCAAATAGGGAGCATATCCAGACAAGTCAGACTCACGAAACTTCTCAGAAAAGTAAGTGAGGGGTGGAGGTAGGGGAGGAGTATTAGGCCTAATGTGGGGGCGTAAATCTTACCCCCAGAGACTCACGTTTCCTTTGAGCTTATCCCTCAGCCAGCTTTGGGAGGTCTGCATTTGGACTTATTCCTTAAATGCTTGTCCCTACCAAGCCTCCATTCTCTTAAACTCCCATATTCTCCTGGTATACATCAGGATAGGCTAAGCTCTGCCACAATAACAAATGAAACCTGAAATTTCAATGGCTTAGCAAATGTCTGTAGATTGCTCACACAAAGTCTGAGCGAGGTAGTGGCTCTCTCAATCCATCTAGTCCCTTGAGAATCCAGTTTGGTTTATCTTGTGACACTCTTCTCCCATCAGCTTCCATGGGAGGCAATGGAGTGAACATGGCAGGTGACCTACTGTTCTTAAATGCCTCAGCCTGGAATTCCCACAATTCATTGGCTAGAAGTAGTCACATGGCCTTGCCTAATCCTCAGAGAGGCTAGGAAATGTAGTTTTCCCTTTTGCCTAGGAAGAAGTAATGTCCTTGAGACATTAAAATGGTTGATGGGGAGTTTAGTGCATTAAGTTTTTCAGGATATCAGACGCGTCCCTATTCAGAATTACACACAGTCCTGGTGGAAGAAGAGCATCAGGACAGTAACCTGGCTAAAGGTGCTCATCCTGAAGGTTCCCTGGCAGCCTGTGGTCCTCAAGCAACAGAAGGTCTGGGGACAGCGGAGGCTGGGGATGGGGGTGCGGGGAAGCACAGGATAGGGAGCAAAAAGCCAGTCGTAATCCTGGGTTAGCCTAGAATTCTGGAAATTGAGTGGCTGGCCAACCAAGCATCATCAAGAATGAGAGAGTGTAATGGATCTGAAAGGTGTCATGAAAGGTCATTCTTCTGTCAACTAATAAAGAACAGAATCACAGCAAGTACAGTGCTAACTATTCCTGAAGTTCATTCATTCTTCTTCCATTCATTAATTCAGCCAATAAATTGTTATTGGTGCCTACTGATCCAAGCCCTGAAGATACAGTAATGAACAAGAAAGACAAGATCCTTGCCATCCTAGGGTTTTCATTTTACCTGGAAGTGCGGGAGGTGATGTCAAGAAGAAGAGGGGGCGCTTCCCTGGTGGCGCAGTGGTTGAGGGTCTGCCTGCCGATGCAGGGGACACGGGTTCGTGCCCCGGTCCGGGAAGATCCCACATGCCGCGGAGTGGCTGGGCCCGTGAGCCATGGCCACTGAGCCTGCACGTCCGGAGCCTGTGCTCCGCAATGGGAGAGGCCACAAGGGTGAGAGGCCCGCGTATCGCAAAAAAAAAAAAAAAAGAAGAAGAAGGGGACGAACAGGGGGCTGGTGTATCACAGAAAGACATCACCCTCCCAGAGGCAGTGGCCCAAAGTTAAACTTTCACTCTATGATTTCAGGCTTGCTAGAACAGCCCATCCACAAGCAAATCTAAACCCTTCCCAGATTAGCCCCTTGCTGCTTTGCCTTGGCAGGAAGGAGGTCCTTCCGTGTGGCACCCAGCAACTCTGAGGCGGCCATACTACAAATACATGTCTTTTAAGGAAGTGTGAACAGTGAAACGTGCATGTGTCTGAGTTGGTACTAAGTCTTTCTTTTTTTCCTAAAAAACCACAGAAACGCCCTTTTTAACTCTCTAACACAACCTCCTATACTCACCGAGTCTTTTCTTCTAGAGCTGCTACAACTTTCTAACTGTTAACCTTGTAGGCTTTAATCCTGTGCTTATTTATAGCCTAACTACTTGTGAGAGGCCTTAAGCATCTTGCAGATGAAAAGCCAGCACCGGATAAGCCATTGACCACTCTGCCTCAAGTGCCCACCTAACAGATTTAGCGGAAGGGGCTGGGTTTTCTTGGCTGGAAAGAGCAAGGATCCCAGCCCACAGTGCTCCCCGGAAGACCCTGAGCACCAAACACAGGGCTCGTTATCTGTTCCATGAAACGCATTCAGTGAAAGCCAAAGGAAGGCTCAGAGAAGCCCCTAAAGGGACAGTTTGGCCCAGGTATTCCTAGAAGGCAGCCACCCCAACTCCTCCCTCCGTGGCTCAAGACGTGGAGACTTTCTGCAGGGACCTGGGCAAGCCTCTGGTGCAGTTTATGTTTAACGGAGAAAAGCTCTTACTGACACAAACTAGACTCCTGGGAGAAAGACCAGACATGGTTTCCTGAGGAATAAGTCTCTGAGTGAGGCCCTGCCAGGGTTTCCTTGGAGCCTAACACACCCAGTGACTCTGAGCCCTTGTTAGCTACCATCTTCACCACCACACATCCAAGGAGGTGAGTCTCTGCCTCCTCCAAACAGCAGCGCTTTATCACCTCTGCTGCCCAGACCTCAGCTCAATGTCCACTCCTGGGGCCACCAGAGCTCTGTCCAACCAGGGGCAGGTCCCCGGAGGCACTGCTGGAGGTGCCTTCCTTGCCGCAAACCTCTGGTGCAAAGCAAGGGTGGCCACTTGTGTCTGCCCCTGAGTAGAGGAGGTCACCACCCCCAGGTCCCTGCAGAAAGTCTCCACGTCTTGAGGCAGAGGGCAGGGAGGACATGAGGGCTCCACAAAAACAATACACAGCCCCCAACTCACCCCAGCTAAAGCCACTAAGGGCCAGACCCAGCTTCCTCAGAAACCTACAGGGGCCTCTCCAGAGAATTATAAACTGTCAATCATCCTTATGTAGTTTACTCTCCTTGCTGTTCTTGGCAAAGTCTGGGCCAGTCTAACAAATGGGGGGTTCCAGGATGTGACTCACAGAGAAGCAAATTCCTAAGAAACAACTCTGTTTGGCTAAGTTGACCCCAGAGGCATCTTGTCTCCAGTCAATTCCTTTCTTTGGGGTTTCTGCTAACATTTTCTCACACGTTGCACTGGTTAGCTAGGACTGTCTTAAAAAACTGTGTAATTTAAACAACAGAAACATATTGTCTCACAGTTCTGGAAGCTGGAAGTCCAGAATCAAGGTGTTAGTGGTGTCATGCCCCCTCTGAAGGTGTTAGAGGAGGATCTGTTCTAGGCCTCTCTCCTAGCTTCTGGTATTTTCCTGGCTTGGGACAGCATAACTCCAATATTTACATGGCGTTTTCCCTTGTGTGTCTCTCTGTGTCTTAAGTTCCTCTTTTTATAAGGACAAAGTCATATTGGATTAGTGCCCACCCCAATGATCTCACCTTAACTTGATCATCTGCAAAGACCCTACTTCCAAATAAGGTCTCGGTCACAGGTCCTGGAGATTAGTATTTCAGTGTGAGAATTTAAGGACACACACACAAAAAAAGAATTTGAGGACAAAGTCTACTCCTAAGGCATATCAATCTCAGCTCTACTCTCTTTTGAATAGTTAATATGGGGTTTCCCTGGTGGCACAGTGGTTAAGAATCCGCTTGCCAATGCAGGGGACACGGGTTCAAGCCCTGGTCCGGGGAGATCCCACATGCCGCAGAGCAACTGAGCCGGTGCGCCACAACTACTGAGCCTGCGCTCTAGGGCCCACGAGCCACAGAACTACTGAAGCCCTCGTGCCACAACTACTGAAGCCCACATGCCTAGAGCCTGTGCTCTGTAACAAGAGAAGCCACCGCAATGAGCAGCCCACGCACCACAACCAAGAGTAGACCCCACTCGCCGCAACTAGAGAAAGACCGCGTGAGGCAACAAAGACCCAATGCAGCCAAAAAGAACTAAATTAAGTAAATAACTTTTTTAAAAGATAGTTAATATGCATATGGTAAAAATTTCAAATAGTACAAAGAAATGAATCTCCCTCCCATTCCTGTTCCCCAGTCACCCTCTCTAAAAGTAATCACTGCTGCCAGTGTCTTGAATCTCTTTCCAAGGATAGTCTCTGCATGTAAAAACAGACAGATAGATACACAGACAGACAGATAATAGATAGGTAGGTAGATAGATAGATAGATAGAAAGAAGCAGAGATATCACCTCCACCTTTTATTGGTTTTGTTTTTGCTCCTTTGGCCTTTAAGCAGTCAAATAAAAACCTTTCCATAAATAAATACTGAAGCTATACATTACAATGTAATATAAAACAATCAAGGAATAAAAAGCCAAGTCTTGGCAAACAGAGGTAACTTCCATTGTTTCTGAAGTAAATGCAGGCTGAGACTTCCTATCCACAAGGTTAAATCAATGACTAAGGCGAATCATAGAAAAGGAAAAGGGAAATTTCTGACAGCAAGAAGGGACAACATGAAGGTTTCCTAGGCCTTTCCAGTGAGAAAGCAGGTTGGATACAGAAGCCCCTTGGAGGCATCCCAGAGGTGACCCCACTGCCCCTGATCCAACGATGTCCTGGGACCTCTGCTCTGGGCTCAGGCTGAGTCAGGCAGATCCCAGGGAGAAATCCTGGCAGAAGTCTACAGTTGAAGATTTCATACAGTCCTACAAGAATTCAGGTTCCTTTCTCCAAGATCTCAGAGGAGCCTCCCCTTCCAAACACCCAGATGGTTTGGTTTTCTCAGAAACCTCCGAAGCCAATTTTTTTCCAAAACACAGATTATAACTCATTATCCATCACATCATCATGGACCTAAATCTTATCAGGCCTCATGCACCGCCCTGCAGCTCGTTCATCTCCATTCCTCCAGGCATCAGTCCACACGGTGCATCCAGGGCTGCTCCACGCTTCCTAACAGCTGCACAGAAACCAGGACAAGCACGTGCACCAGCCCCCTTGGAGGCGCCGCTTCTGTAATGACAGCTCTGCTAGTGTCAAGCACCGCCTACATTCCCCCCCTCCCCCCCAGGTGACTCCGACATGCAGGCGGGGCTGGGAGCGATTGACTGAATTCAGTCAGGGTCAGAGCTCTAAGAACCTCAAGAGATGAATACCGACCACATTCAACTCTTTCAAATATGAAATGTCTTCCGAGAGCTGCAGTGAGTTTGGCTGAGTCCTCCGACCCTGACTGACAATTCTCCTCACCATAGTTTGCAGAGTCTGACTCATATCCTCACAAGGAAGGATGTGGGCTATCAGGGTGTTGGCGGATGGGGCCAGCATGCTCCTGAAACAGTACCGTTTCTACGGTTTTTCCACACAAACATAAGCCGTTCTGCGGACTCAACTAACTAGAAACCTCCACTTAAAACATTATTTCAAAAGAAATCCACATTCTGCCTTCTCCAGTCCAGCTTTGGGAATGCACCAGGAAGCTCCAAGAATTCCTCTCTAGGGCTTCGCTGGTGGCGCAGTGGTTGAGAGTCCGCCTGCCGATGCAGGGGACACGGGTTCGTGCCCTGGTCCGGGAAGATCCCACGTGCCACGGAGCGGCTGGGCCCGTGAGCCATGGCCGCTGAGCCTGCGCGTCCGGAGCCTGTGCTCAGCAACAGGAAGAGTGAGAGGCCCGCGTACCGTAAAAAAAAAAAAAAAAAAAGAATTCCTCTCTAATGCCTCCTATATGGTTGCCATCCTGCCAAGCTACTGTGCTGACATAGCAACAACCAATTCTCTTAAAGAAAAACTGTTGGGTAACAGACACCTTCACACAGGTCCTTGTTACTCACTGTCAATCTGTTAACAGCACCTGAGGGCAAAGCAAGATGCATTAGAGAAGAGAGGATGAGAGGTGGAGGTGGTGGAATATTAGAACTCTGAGCGCCTGGAGGGGACAACAAAGAGATCAGTAGAATGTATTTACAATAATAGTAATAGCAATAATGATAATAATAGCAGCAGCAATCCCTTCCCCACCCTGCAGTCAGCCGTCCTCCGGGAGGTGGAACTGCATTTGGGGAGGAAGATGGGGCCCCTGCCCTGAGGCATGGCTGTTGGCAGGGGGACAGGACAGAAGGGCCTGTGATGGCAACAGGTCACAGAGGGCAGTAAAGGATAACCACGAACACTCAGTGAGAGCTCAGGCCCAGGTGAAGACCCCAGAGAGAAACCATCACAGTCACTTCCTCACCCCAGAACTATAGTTTGGTCCTCCACATCAAAAAAAAAAAAAAAGGTGACGCCAAGAGCCTCCAAGACCTTAGAGCAAACCAGGCTACTTCCCTTGAAACCTGTAAAGATTTCTGTCCTCAACCATGCAGATAGCAGCTTTGCCTAAAGCTCTGCCACCAGCCATTCTTGCTAGCTTCAGGGTGTTCCCCCTTGGGCTCATAGGAGGACTTCTGACCTGTTGGGAAAAACCCATTTACCTCTTGAGGGCACCAGGGGAGGGTCCCAGCGGCATCCAGGGCATCCCAGCTGGGGATACAGTAGATAGGCCTGTGTCTACAGCAGAGGACAGGCAGAGCCCAGCACAAGCCTCTGCGAGGAGATGGGCTCAGAGTGCTTCTGAATGGGTCCTGCAAAACCTTTGTTGTTCTCCAAGCCTCACCTAGAAAATGCATTGTATTTGGAAGGACTCACAGAAGCCACCAGTGGGGGATCTGCCTCCTTGGAGAGGTTCCCAGTGGTCTCCAGAGTGTGCCAAGCTCTACTTTTTGAACCCCTGTTACCCCAAGTCAGGTGCTCTGCTCTATCGTGAGACATTTTTAACTATTAGAAAGTCCTTCCTTCTTTTTGAGCTCCCTGTCTCGCCATGATTGCCATGTACTCATTTTTGTATGTATCAATACAGTGTGTGTTTCCACACATGCATAATTTGTGAGCAGCCATGAAAAGAGAAAAAGTACATGTCCCACTTCTAGGAATCACTCCTATAGAAATACAAGCACAAGCGTGTAATAAATATGCTAGTGTCGCCAGTGAATTTAAGGTTCTTTCTTCATCGTGAAAGAATTTGAAGACGAAGTGATAGGTAAGAATCAGACTTATTTAGAGAGAAATACACTCCACAGACGGAGTGTGGGTCACTGAAAGGCGAGAAGCAAGAGGCCTCGAAATATGGGGTGGTTAGTTTTTATGGGCTGGGTAATTTCATAGGCTAATGAGTGGGAGGATTATTCCAACTATTTGGGGGAAGGGGCGGGGATTTCCAGGAATTGGGCCACAGCCCACTTTTCAGCCTTTTATGCTGGGCCTCAAAACTGTCATGGCGCCGGTGGGTGTGTCATTAGCATATGCTAATGTATTACAATGAGCATATAATGAGGCTCAAGGTCCACTGGAAGTCGAGTCTTCCGCCATCTTGGACCCAGTTGGTTCTCACTAGTTTTCATCATGTCCTATGGCTATGTCATTCTTTTAAAGGTTGTGCCCTGCCCCTCTCCCTCCTGTTTCATTAGTGCACAAGGATGTTCCCTGAGGAACTGTAACAGAGCTCTCCCTGACACTGGGACTGTTCAATCAAAATTGGAATGACCCAAGAGGGAGAAGATATGGAGATATATGTATACGTATAGCTGATTCACTCTGTTATAGAGCAGAAACTAACACCCTACTGTAAAGCAATTATACTCCAATAAAGATGTTAAAAAAAAAAATTGGAATGACCCTTCTTCTTCGTAAAAACACCAAATGGCGTATGACGCCGGTGCTGGGGTAGGCCCCAGAGGCCCTGGAATGGGAAGCCCCGGTGACTTCCGCAGAAGCTTTGGCAGCGGTGTCCGGGGTCAGGGTCACAGCCAGGGTCAGGGCCTCAGAGCACATGGAGGCAAGGCTGAGAAGCAGGAGTGGCTCCCCGTCACCAAGCTGGGCCACCTGGTTAAGGACCTGAAGATCAAGTCCCTGGAGGAGAGCTGTCTCTTCCCTCTGCCCATCAAGGAATCTGAGATCACTGACTTTTTCCTAGGAACATCCCTCAAGCAGGAGGTTTTCAAGATTATGCCTGTGCAAAAGCAGACCCGTGCTGGCCAGCAGACCAGGTTCAAGGCATTTGTCACCATTGGGGATTACAACGGACATGTCGGTTTGGATGTCAAGAGCTCTAAGCAGATAGCCACTGCCTTCCATGGGGCCACCATTCTGGCCAAGCTCTCCATCATGGCCGTGTGGCGAGGCTACTGGGGAAACACATCAGCAAGTCCCATACTGTAACTTGCAAGGTGACTGGCCGCTGTGGCTCTGTGCTCATGTGCCTTATCCCTGGCCCCAGGGGTACTGACATCATCTCAGCCCCTGTGCCCAAGATGCTACTGATGATCGCTGCAACTGATGACTGCTACACCTCTGCCAGGGGCTGCACTGCCACCCTGGGCAACTTTGCCAAGGCCACTTTTGATGCCATTTCCAAGACCTACAGTTATCTCACTCCTGATCTCTGGAAAGAGACAGTGTTCACCAACTCTCCGTATCAGGAATTCACTGACCATCTTGCAAAGACCCACACCAGAGTTTCCGTGCAGAGGACTCAGGCTCCAGCTGTAGTCACCACATAGTTTTATATGAGAAAAATAAAGTGAATGAAGCCATAAAAAAAAATTGGAAAGACCGCATAGAGAGGATTCTTGCCCCCAACAGAGCAGGAGATTGGATGTGATGACCTCAGATGGTCATCTACTTATAAGTCCTTGAGT